CATTTTACAGATCATACATAACTCATCATGCATGTTATTGAGAGATTTGGAGGGAGGGGGAGGGGTTGTGTGAAGAAGAGCAGTATTATTCTCTGCCCATTTCAGAATAGCTGAAACTCCATAGTGTTTTGCACTAAAGACCTGCCATAGGAAAGTCTCAAAATGAATCTGTTGTGATGCTGTAATAATATGTCTCTGCACAATATCAATGATTTCTGAATTGCTGTTCGTAATTGTTGAAATTTATATAGTGATGTTGGACTATGCAGTTGCCAAAACAGTTTAAACAAGATTTTATTTGACTTTCAGAAAAGATCTTTTGCACCGTCAACCCCTTTAACTGGTAGGAGTTATCTAAAAGAGAAGGAATCAGTAATTACTCCAGTTGCTTCTGCAACACAGAGTGTGAGCCGGTTACAAAGTATTGTAACAGGGTTGAAAAATGCACCAAGTGAACAGCTTGTAGCTATTTTTGAGTAAGTTGTATTACATTTGTCTTCTATGTTGCTCATATCTCTAATTTCTGATTTTCATCTTTCTGATAATAATTTAGAACATTTGATATTTTATTTGATAATAAATAACCATGCTGTGTTTCCTGAATTGTAACCTCTAATGTTAAAGGGCAAATTATTTGAAATTTTAGATATTTTGAAAAGCAATGTGCAATGTCTTATTATTTAAATAACAAATTTTTACTGTTATGTTTAAAGGAACTTTCAATCATGGCTGAGAAACACAATTATTTTTCTATGTATTTGTAAGGTCAGGTTTTCTATTCAGATTCTCAAATAAATGCAGAAGCAATAGAATTTGAAAAAAGTGAAAACTGGAGATACAGAAATTTTTTTGGGGGCAAGAAAATATTTTGCTCATGATTTGAATGATTTGTTGGAAAGGTTAGGCAGGTTGCATGATAGATGAAGGAGTATAGATCTGCAAATTAGTATTTTAAAAGCAAAGGTAATTGACATAGAGTGATGTGCAAATGCTGATAGAAAGAAGGAATGTAGTATATGATTTCCTGCAAGAAATATTTAAAAAAAGACCCAAAATAGCTATTATAGTAACAAGTTTCTTATGTTCTATAGAAATAAGTATGTAAGAGTAATTTGGATCCAGTGAGAATAGCTTGCATAATAGCATCAAAAATAAATAGGTGCTGAGGTTTTATCACAACAAGAATAAAAGAGGATTGTATTGCAAAATAAATACATGAAGGAAGAGTGGATGGAAAGGAAGGAGGAGACTGAGAAACTTGTGCATAGGTAGAATTGCTGAGATTCTCAAAAGAGAAGTTTAAAGAGCAAATGTCAGGAATGAATCAGTGTGTGTGGAAGAATGATTTGCAAGGACAGAAACATATAGAGAGTAGTATTAATATAAACTTGATTTAGTATTAATTTAATTAATTTAATTTAAATTTAATTAATAATGTAAACTAGATTTAGTCAGATTGTTGTTTTTTTACTTATCACCTTCCTTTAATTTCTTTTGTTTATTCCTTCTTACTTTTCTGCATTTGGTGTAACATTGCTTGCCTCAGGTGGGAGTAGCATAATGAGTATGAAATGTATTAATACATTCACTTGTTAAAATGATTATGGGAGACTTCTTATTTGTAAAGTTTATTATTTTAAAAAACATTACATTACCTGTAATTAGTTTGAAATGCATATTAATATTTTGTTTTAAACAAGATGCTATTTGCCAATCATGTTTAAATTACGTATTTTTATGTTCCATTATAGATCATGTATACGGAATCCTATGGAGAATATCCTGAAAGGAGTGAAAAAGATAGGTGAAATTTTCTGTCAGAATTATACTCTATCAGTCAGTGATCAACTGGTATGCCATTTAGGTAAGAATAGGAGAAAAAGCGTGTGTTTGTGGGTGTATGTATATGTGCATGTATGGTTTTATATCTATCTATCTATCTATCTATCTATCTATCTATCTATCTATCTATCTATCTATCTATCTATCTATCTATCTATCTATCTATCTATCTATCTATCTGTATCTCGATATCTATGTCTGTCTGTCGGTCTGTCTCTCTCTCTCTCTCTCTATAGATAGATAGAGATAGAGATAGATATAAATATATAAAATTATCTTAAAAATGCGAATCCCGGGTATATTCATAATAAAACTAGAAACACGGATCACTGAAAGTAAACATTTATTTAAAACTGAGCTTTCGTCAGTGCCTGCTGACATCGTCAAGAGTGTAAGCCAGGAATGGGAGGCACGTTCTTATAGTCTCTGTGAAGCTAGCAGTTTAGCTAACGAGCGCGTTACGGGTCTATTTGGCCCCCCGCCCTCCCGCAATCAATTTTATTGATCCTATTTCTGTCGGGCTGGTTGATGTCTGTTTTAAGTTTTGGCACTTTGCCTCTCTCTACTCGCTCCACCTGGCAGGAGAGTTCGTCTTGCCGTGCGCGCTCGTCCCGCCGCTCGAGCAACTCTTCTGCATGCGATACTGCCATTTCGGCTGGTCGCTCCTCCATCGTGCTGGCATCGCTGTCCATGTTGGTCAAATGCCCTCTCCTGATGTCCATGGGTCTGGTTTGCCTCCTTGTCACCTGCTGTGCCGATGTATTGGCTAGTGAGAGGTTACGATCCTCTGCCTCCCTGCTCGCGCCGGGGGGAAGTGACCGTTGGTTCATCCATTCAGTCTTCCTGCATGATAATACATACTGGCGCAGTGTCTGGTAAGCTGGCAATAACTCAATATGCCGGTTAACAGAATGTTTAACAGGCGGCCGCCCTTAGTTGTATCATGAGCAATGACTCTGGCCTCTGTAAAATTGAAAGTATGGTTGTGCTCGATGGTGTGAGCCAACGTAAAGAAAAACGATCGCAGGTATGGACTCACACACACATACGTACGTACGTACGTACGTACGTATGTATGTATGTATGTATGTATGTATCATTTCATTTTTAATGTGCGGCAGTGTGTTCACAGGAAAAAAGTGATAGTCTTTATGTTATCTTAATTGTAATGATAATATTTTTCTTCTAGTTATAACTCCTTCCTTTTTTAAATTAAAGAATGGCAGTTGAAATGGGTCCAAACTTTTACCTATCCCAGTCTTCTAATTTTACAATAATCTCCAAGAGAACCTGAAAGAAAAACATTACTGTAGTGCAGTACTTATCTGCTGATGTTTCTGAACAAATAGGCAGATTTAGCAAATTTTGGATACCTCTGTATTCCAAATCAAAAGGAATCTGCACGATGAGTGCCACTGCTCTTTCATATCCTAATATGAACTTTGGAATATGTTACAGTGTCTTTTTGTTATTTGACAATTCTGGCATATATTTATCCACTGCTTTGATACTGGGTTTTTCTAACTTGTTAAATATCTCCTGCATTTATAGGCCTATATTCATTTACTCAAATATAGATGCTATAAGCAGTGGAATTTGTTTTTTGATAATTCTACGTAGAACTTATTCTTTAAGATCTGAAGCCTTTAATGCATTCTTGATCAATATGAAGTCACATACTGCTTTACAGAAAAATTGCAGATAAACTGGACAAGGTTTTAAGTATTAACCTTTTTATTTATGTATTTATTATTTATCATTAAATATTATCAATATTTGGCTTAATTTTCAGATTTTGCTCTTCACCGATTAAAATTGGCAGAAATTTTGTATTATAAAAGCTTGGAAACAATAATGATACAAGAAAAGCGAAGGCTGCCTGGCAAAGACATGTCTGTAAGTTCAGAACTATGGAGAAAAATACATTAGAACACTTTACATTTTTTTTGGCTTAAACGTATAATCTTATATAAGGTTTTTTGATGGAGCACATGCTGAGAAGAGCTCATAAGTAAATTTTAGCATTTCTGAAGATGCTAACCTTGTCAATTTTTTGAGAAGCAACAATTCTGTAATTGAACCAAAGATCTGAATTCTTGATTATATTATTTTTCCTCTAGTTCATTTTCTTCTTTAGATCAGCAGTCCCCAACCTGTATGATGTTAGACATTCCCATAAAATCTAACCTCAGATGATTCCCAAAAATCGATTTGGCATCCCAAATATTTTTAAGAATTTAAAAATAAATGATATAATTTTGTATGATTATAGGTTTCAATTTTTTTTTCTTCTTTCTAGACCATTTTAGAACAAGATATTTTCCATTGCTCTTTGCTTGCATGTTGTTTTGAAATAGTGCTGTTTGCATATCGTTCACCAAGAACTTTTCCCTGGATCATTGATATTCTTAATGTCAAGCCATTCTATTTCTATAAGGTAAGCACAGAAAAAGCATTGATCTTTACACAAAATGACTTCAGCTTTTCCAAGTGGTCAATCAGCAAGCCCTGTTTTGTTTCATTTGTCATTCTATAATAGATAGCAACCAGTTCCAGCTCTTATTGTATGTATCAGTATAATCCACAGTTGATACTGAATTACTTTTACAAAAATGATGTGCAGTATCAACCAGCACCAAAAGAAATTGGCAACTAATAAAAAAAAGGCATAACTGGATTGTAGACTTGCATTGGAGGTCAGCCTTGTTTAGCTGTCCTGTTGGAGACAACAATTCCTCCACTAAGCAAAGAGGTTGCTGAATGGGAAATCATGTGATCGTGACTGCTTTCATGAGCTGTGGTGGTGCGATAGTTAGAATGCAATATTGCAGGCTAATTCTGCTGACTGCCAGCAGTTCAATCCTAACCCACTCAAGGTTGACTCATCCTTCCATCCTTTTGAGGTTGGTAAAATGAGAACCCAGATTGTTGCGGGCAATATGCTGACACTTAGAGAGTGCTGTAAAGCACAATGAAGCTGTATAAGTCTAAGTGCTATTGCTATTCTGGTTGGAAAGAGACAACACTTTTCAGTTTCACATCTTTGGCCTTTTTTTTGCCTTTTAACTCCTCCATTTAGAATATCTGCTTACTGTCTTGCACACATCAAAAGCAATGTGATTGTGGTGTTATGCAAACAACCTACAGTACTCTCTGAAATCTCTTCCTATCGAATCTCTACTATGCAGGGAAGTGGGAAGCAAGCAATATCTGTAGGCAGTTTGTCTATCCTTTCCTACCACCACCTTCCCCCCTGCTCTGCTCAGGGGGTGCATACTGACTGTAACGGCAATCACATAACTGGGGGATGCTGTGAAGATGACATATGGTTGTAAATTGGCCATAATGTTGCTTTTTCATCACTATGATATCTTTGAATGGTTGCTGAACGAGTGGTCAGTAAACAAGGACTAGTTGTATCTACCTAATTATATTCAGATTAGTTTAATCATAATAACAGTTCTTATTTTACCCTGAGTTCTTATAAAATTGAAGCTGCTTATTTTTCTGGAAAACATTGAAGTGCTTAAGGTATGCAAGAAAATGGTTCTACATAAGGTCTTTTAAAAACTATTCTGGGCAAAATAAATATTTTAAACAATCATTTACTGTGAAAAAAAATCAAAGGAATGCATTCATTTGTAAAATGAAACTCACATGAAATATTTTGTGCTCCTACATTGGGATAGATAAAATTTGGATTTGTATTATGTGTATGTGACTAAACTAATGTTTGCACTCAAGGTGATTGAAGTATTGATCCGTTCAGAAGAAGGTCTCTCAAGAGATATGGTAAAACATCTTAACAGCATTGAGGAACAGATACTTGAAAATCTAGCCTGGAGAGAAGACTCTGTACTTTGGGATGCCCTTCAAGTCTCAGAAGATGAGGTTCCTCGCTGTGAAGAAGTATGCTGTCAAGTAAACAATTCATATTTAAAACATGGAAATTACTTAAATCTTTCAAATCTGAAAAACTGAAAATACT